GTAGACACAACTATTGCCTACTATAGAAAAGAGTTAACTTAGGCATTCTCCTCAGTAAAGTTAGTGTCAAACATAAAACCTAGCTTTAGGAAGAAGCAGGCAGTAACTGTAGTAGATTCACTAGCACATTAAGAGTAGTGTCATGGTATACTCAGAACAATTCTATTTAAGGATAATTAAACATAAGCAGCTACAGAAGAAAATTCACAGGAGGGATTGTAGACTGAAATGTTAGTACCCAAATTCATTCCTTGCTTCCATTCTTTCAATCAAAACGTGAAGCTTTAGCATCAAATTCAAAGACTAGCTCAGACCCCAAGTTTGTCCCTCTTAAGGTCCAGGATATGATTTCTAATAAAATTGTAAATCTCTGCTCTGTTATTCAGGGAGCTTGGTATTGACAGTTCTCCTCTTCCTTTCTCAAATAGTAATTATCAGTTTCAGATGAGATTTTAAAAAAATGTGTGTGTGTGTGTGTGTGTGTGTGTGTGTGTGTGTGTGTGTGTAAATCCGGCCACTGATAGATTTATTTCTGGGCTGGTGGTCAGGTTCCAGATGAACTGCTGCAGTTGCTGCTTTATCATCACAAATGTTCTTTACTTCTTGACAATTCCCAGGCCTAAACATGATATTTGAATTTAACGAGGTCCCACACCTATACATACCACTGAGATGTATTTTGGTAAGTGAGAGTTCATTCCCTTCCATTCATGGGTTTAGGGGAAAAAAGTGTATTGTGTGAGGTGTCTTAGAGGAATTATGTTTCAGCTGGCTGTTTACCACAAAGCCACTCCTATTGGCCTAGGAACCTTAGCTCAGTTAATTAGTGTGGAGTTAAATACGCTAAAATGACTCTTCTACCTGTCCCCTACCAACAACTTACATATGTCTTTCTATCCATCATGCATGTGGGGGATTTGGTCACAAGGGAGCACAAAATGAGACAATGAAAGATTCATTTAGTTTCATCACTAAATTGTCCACAATTGTAACTGCCTCTATTACCTTACAAGATGATTGCATAGATCACATGAGCTAATGTATCTGGAAGCACTTTGAAAACTGAACTGGGGCTTCTGGTCAAGGGGGCAGAATAGATGGTCCCCAGCATCACTCTCTCCCACAAATCAACCAATTTACAGCTATAAAAAAGCAATGACAGCCAAGCTGGGGCCACTAGAGCTCAGGGGAAGAAGAAGAGGGACCTACGGAGTGCATGAAGGCAGGAGAAGCCATGATGAGAGAAAGAAAAAACTCCGACCATTTCGAATCTCAGCCACTTCCAGGCTGGAGCTGCTGAGCATATGGAGCAGGAGCTGGAAAAAGCTGCAGCTGTGCCTTTCAGATGAAGTTGCTTGGAGGCGGCAGGGGAGAAGAGGGCCATGATGGCCTCCAGGCCAGCGAGACCTCTAATAGGGTTCCTTTGGACCCAGTTAGGAGCGAGGAGCCACAACAACTGAAAAAAAGGAACCACACAGAAGCCAGTGAGTCATGGCAAGGGACTGGTGCTTGACCCATCCCATGAGAAGTGTTTGGAGCATGGGAGGTGGCCAGGGAAAACTGGAGCACAGCAAGGACAGCTGATCTGCTCACCAATCAGCATAGGACCACTCAGAGGAGACTGGTCAGGAATATAGAATTGCATGGGGTGCAGATTGATGAAAAGACTCAGGCCCAGACCAGAGTGTCTACATGACCCAGGTGCACTGGATTTCACTAGACCCAGAAGTTCCAATAAAGTCAACCATTAAAACCTGAGCTGCACAAAAAACCTTCCCTAGGGAGTCAGCATCAAAGCAGCAATTTACCTAAACCACAGAGCTCAAGTACTGGTCCCCACAGGAAGTTCCCCCATTTTAGAAGTAAGCAAAGGACAACAAATCAGTTCCAACACAGAGTTAAGTGGTGGGAACAGCAAATAATCCAACAGAGAACTGGAAGAAAAACAAAGTACCCGCAACCAGAGACAAAATTTGATATTAGCTAGTAAAGGTCTCATTTCACTTGAGAAAACCTATAACACCTAAAAGGACTGGAAGTCCCCTGGGCTACCAAGCCAGAAAGTGGGGAGGGCCGGAAGCCTGAGCCATGCCCCCTGACACCTGCAGCTAGTCCCAAGGGTGGGGGCTGATAGCCTCTGCTACACCCCCCTGACACACACAACCACCACAGTGGCACCCACCAAGCCACTGCAGGAAGCACCCCAGGCTCTCCTGGGCTGGGGTGGTGGGGGACCAAGGGCCTCGGCCACACCCTCCTGACACATGCAACCAATCCAGCAATGACCACCGAGCTGCTGCAGGAAGCATGACAGGCTCTCCTGCGCTGTGGCAGTGGGGAGATGAGGGCCTCGGCCATGCCTCCCTGCCAACATGTGCAACGAGCCCAGTGACGACCACTGAGCCACAGTATGAGCCCTGTGTTCCCAAGCTGGGGTGGCGAGGGGTGAGGGCTTTTGCCCCACCCCTCTTACATTTGCATTCAGCCTGACAATGGCCAACCCACCCCTGGAAGTCCCCTGTGGGAATGACGGGGGTGCCACAGGCCTCAGTCCCGCCCCTCCTCCTTCCTCCTTCTTCCATCCCATTTCCTTCCCCTTTCTCCTCTCTCCCTCCCTCCCAACTACTCTGCAGCAACATCATAGAATGTAAAAAAATATTAATATTAATAAAATGTTTTAAAAATAAAATAAATAAAATAAAATCATGTCTTTGGAAAACCAAGCAACCATGCCATGCATCCATGCCATGATCTATCACTGGACATGCATGTGTCCCAGTCAGCCATTTGTGTTTCTTCTTAGTGGGGATCTGATATGAAGCAGTACTTCAAAAAAAAAAAAAGAAAGAAAGAAAAAGAAAAAGAAAACTGGGAACCACCTATACATGTAAGGCACTTAAAATTATAATTAATATTAATAAACATCACTTCAGTAATTGACAATTTTTTGTGCAGGTGTAATTTAATTTTTTTCACTTTAATTTTTTTTTTATTTTTTATCTTTTTTTATGATTAGACTGTTTATTATTACAAATTGTAATTTTTTATGCCCTTTACCCAACCTGTCATTCCCCAAACCCCCTCCCTCACTCCCCCCCCATCTCTAGTTTCCTTAGGCTTGTTGTTTCCTTCTGAAAGTTAAACGTATTGTTGTGGTCTTTCATTTCTTTCCTTTATTTTCTTTGTTTCTCTCTCTCTCTCTCTCTCTCTCTCTCTCTCTCTCTCTCTCTCTCTCTCTCTCTCTCTGCTTAATTCCTTCCTTTCTTCCCTCTTTCCTTCCTTAGCACATGGTTATGAGTCAGAACACAAGATGTGGTATTTCTCTTCCTGTGTCTGGCTTATTTCACTTAACATAATTTTCTCCAGACTCATCCATGTTCTGAAAACGGTAGAATTTCATTCTTTTATATGGCTGAATAGTATTCTATTCTGTATATATACCACATTTCCTTATCCAGTCATCTGTTGATGGAAATTTAGGTTGGTTCCATATTTTAGCTATTGTAAATAGAGGTGTAATGACCATGGGAGTGCAGGTGTCCCTTCAACATGATGATCTCCATCCTTTTGGACATATACCCCGTAGTGGGATTGCTGGATCATATGGCACCTCTATTTGTAGTTTTTTGAGGAACCTCCATACTGTTTTCCATAATGGCTGCACTAATTTATAGTCCAAGGGTTGTCTTTATGACATTAATACATATGACATTATGTATCTGTATGCTAAGTCCTCTCATTTCTTTCTTCCAAGTGCCTCTCAGATTTCCCCCTTTTTTTTAATTTCCCTAGACTCCACCCTAGTCTGGCTCCTCATCCCCCCTACTGCAGCATTATTACTGCTTCCTCTTAGCTAGTTTTTTTTTTCTTCTGCTGCCCATCTCATATACCAAGCCACTCATCATTAGATAGTACTTTCTTTGAGTCATTTTTTTGTTCCAAGAATTTACAGTGACGCTTTATCCTACCACATCATGCCCAAATTCTTCTGCATGCTTCTGAGGATCCTATAGAATTGAGCTCTGTCCTATCTATCTAGTTTCATTTCTAATTCATGATGAGCAACTGGCTCTACACCCCACCCCGTCCAACCCATTCTCACAGACAATTCTCCTCTAAACAAATTATGCTTGCTAAATTATATTTGTGTCTTGTTTTGTATTGTTAATCTTTCCTTAATTTATTCTTCCTTGCTCTCTGCTTTTCAAAATATTCTTCATTTCTTAAGGTTCATATGGAGATCCCTTTCCTTCATAAAACTTTCCCCAACCCTGCCCGCCAATCTTGACATCTCTTTTCTCAATTTATTTAGCACATATGAATAGCCTTATAGCTCAAATGATGCAATTTTCCACTGGATTGTGTTCTCTGTTATCTCTCTTTCTTTTGCTGTGTTAGTCTTGTGTTCATAGTAATGTATTATAAACTGAGGGCATGGATAAAGACTCTACTTCCTTCTCCCTTATCATCCAGGACAGAACTTGGTACACAAAAGATACTTAATCAATATTTTTGATGAACTGTCCTAATGAAGGTACCAGTGCCTTATTATATTATTTTGGAGGTTAGAATGGGGCAGGGGTGTGATTCAGAGGGTTTTGGCCACCAGAAATGTCTATTAGGATTTTATTTCATTGAGAATATGTAGTGCACAAAGCATTTATGGTGATTTAATTTTTCGTGCATAATTGTACCTTTAAAATCTATATTTCTTTGTACTTGCAAGCGTATAAAAACCACCCAAAATAGTTCATTTGTTTGATCTTGTTGGAAAATGTAGCTGTCGAAATGGCCTATTTACAGTGAATCAATGGTGCTCTAAATGTGCTGGGAAATAGATATTGTATGAATAGAGTAACAAACCAAGTAGGAACACTGTCTAATAAATGTTTACAGACCATCAAGTCTACAAACAGTAAGTATCATACACAATAGAATCTTTTTCTTATCCCATAATTTATCTCAATTTTCCCATTATTTTCTTTCATTTTCTCTTCTAGCTTTACTCACAGACAAGCCTCCCAAGCCATTGTTCCCCATGGAGAATCAGCCAAGTGTTATAGATGTCCAGCTGGGTAAGTCCCCTTCTGGGAATAATAGATGCTAAACTTGCTCTCTGTTAACAGATGGGGAAAATTGCAGGAACCAGGAAAGGCTTATTGCCACTGTTATTACATGCAAATCAATTTGTGTTCTGCTCATTTATAACCCTGGAGTTCGGTGCAATAGCAGTTTAAGGAAATAAGTTTGTATTGCATCAAGGAATGGTAATACTAATTTGTTACACTGGGTATTAAGTGTGCTGTATGATAGAGCCTTTTGACTCTGTGATTGATCGATTCACAGGTGTCTTGCATTGGTGATTGTTACAGAAAACTTTTCATACACGTCAGCCAAAAAGTTTTATTTGGAGAGCATTAATTTACGGAGACTAAGCACTTCGTAAAATAAAAGACAGCTCTTCAGTGCAGCCTTTAAAATGATTTGATAATATCATTTCCAATGACACAATCCAGGGCTATTTAAAACTTGTTTTTGGGTTAGGATTCTGAACATATAAGAATTATATGGTATTGAGAAAAGTAACATGTTAATTTATGGGTGACACTGTCTTTTTACAGACTCAGATAAGGATACAAGGGGTTGAGCCTCTGTTTTGAGTCCCCTACAACTAATCCTTATGATTTCAAGTAGTGTGAGGTTGAAACTCAGAAGCCTTCTAAGATCTCCTTAAACCATGGCCTTTAATTTAAAACATGTCCTTTAACATCTGAGAGCTTTCATCTGTGCTGGGTTTCATCCTAGTATTCAGAATTCCTTCAATTCTAAACAAGACAACCACACAAAAAAACTGAGTAAATATTCTGGAAATACATTAGGCTTACACTGGGTATATGATTTATTGAAATTTGTGACCATAGATGTACCCACAAATTATACAGCCAGGGAAGACAAATTGACCCCAATATTTTACTCACTTTGGCAATTTTGGACCCAACTTTTGATCTTCCCATTCTAACTTAGATTGTTAGAGGCTTATTTCTGTCTTGAGAATAGGAGAGAGAAAATTACATTTCTGAGAGATGGTTCATTTTCCTAAAATGAAATATCACACATTGTAGATTTTAAATGCAACCTAGCAATATGAAAGCCAAAGTTAAATATTCTACAACAAAAATAAGAGAAAATGATAAACATGTTTTCAAGAGCAAATTGTGGAAGTGGTAAATATTTTAAAAAGAGTGTTGAAGTATTAGACTATGGCTCTCCCTACATCCCCCATTTTATTTTGCATTGTTACATTTTGTTAGAGCCAAGTCTAGATGTGCTGACACTCTTACTTTCCAATAATTTTTACTTGCATCTCTCCGTCTCAAACAGGGATAAAAATATTGAAAGGGTACTCAGTGATTTAATACGGTTTATATGAAGCCATATTATCATCTTGTATCGATAGTTTGCATGGAGATTCAAGTGGATAAATTATTTTTATATTAAAGCTTACATATTAAGGAGTAGAAAGTAACATTCACACAAGTATTTCAAATAAAATGTGAGAGAATTTTATGTTTGTGGACTCTGGGGGGATAATCCTTTATTCTCCTCTGCCATAAGGCACACTTCAACAAAAAAATTTGAGAAGTATTGTTCTAAAGCAAAGAGAGGGAACCTCATAGGCGATACATTTCTTGCAGGTTCACTAAGTACAACACCTGTATGTGCCATTCAGGATGTCTGTAAGATGGGTGGTTTGTAAAAATATATTTCAACATAGGTGTATATGCCAAAATAGCCCATCAACACTACCACCGTACAAAATTATTAAAACAACTTGCTTCCAATTAACATTAGATATAAGGCTGAACTTTTCAGGTTTTAGTTAGTAGCACAACTTGGAAACAACTTTATTTCCATGAAGAAGGAGATCTTCCTATTTCTCATCACAGAAAGGCTGTTTCCCCAAGATGTTAAAACAACCATATAATTCAGAGAAAGAAAAACAATACCAGTCAAACCAGATTTTGGCATTTCAAGGACCACATGACTGGTTGATTTTAAATTATTTTAACTTTTCCACAGATTAGTTTAGCACCATTTATTCACAACTGGAAATAATTTTGTAAGTTGCTCTTATATCTCAATAGTAAGGTGTCAGTGGGAGATCTGCAGTTAGAATGATGAGAGTTTAGAAGCTTCAGGTGTAAAAAAGAAATAGAGAAAAATAACTGGGGATATTGAACATCCTTGTTTATGTCTGGTTAACTTTCAGAATTCAATAAGGTAATGAAAATTTCTGAAAATTATTTTGCTTCAGTTTCTGAATTTTATCAAGCACATTCACCTTTAGATAACCTCAGACTAGAACTACAATTAGAACCGCCAATAAATGCAACGATCCAATCTAAATAGCTCAGCACATTATCATGTCTGGGTTTCCCAAATCCCATCACTTAAAATTTAAGACAACATTGTGGTAGATTTAAGTTGGCCACAGATTTTTTTACTACTCCTATCATCTGAATGTGGTTTCTCACTCCCTTCCCTTTAAATCTGTGTTGGCTTTAGAGACATGCTTGACCAATAGACTATGGCAGAAGTGATGTTTTCTGAGTTTTTGGAGGCTGGGTCAAAAGAAACTTGCAACTTCTGTCCCAGTCTCTTGGTCTGTTCTGAAACCATCCTGCTACTTAAAACTCAAGCCACATAGAGAGCACCTAAAGGATGAGACGCTATGTGGAGAGGAGGAGAGAGAAATCACCAAGCACCAAGGCACTGGACATGTGAGAGAAGAAGTCATCTTGAAAGTGGATTCTCCGGCCGCACCTACCATCCCTGAATTATGCCGTGTAGATCAGAGACAAACCAATGAGCCAAAGTCTTCTCAAATTTCTGACCCAAAAAGTCATGAACAAAATAAAATGTCATTGGCCACTGAGTTAGGGGTAGTTTGTTAAGCAATAGTAGATGCACAGAACAAACATTTTTTAGTTTCTCAAGAGCATTCTCATTTTCAGATTACTGTGGACAAGGACACAATGCAACCATTTTATGCAAAATGAGAAATGTTGTGGGAAATACTTGTGTACCACTTTAAAGGAAATTTTAGAAGACATGGTCTGAAATAATTGTTTATGTGTTTGTTTGAAGGTTACACTCCGTTCTAAGTTCTGGAAATTTCTAAAGGCAATCCAGTAAATTAAAAGTTGCAGTTGAAATATTTTATAGTGCATAGGGTTGGCATCAGTACGGGTATTTTGTTGTATCTCTAGAGGAAAATAAACATCTTGACTTTCTCTCTCCTATAGTATAATCCATTAGTAGTCATCTGCAAGGTTCTACAGACTTACATACATTTTTGATGACATAGTGATGACAGTTTGGTTGTTGCTAAATTATGTTCACATTGTAATACTGAAAGAAGATTAATCTTAACAAAATAGTCATATATTTTGAGATGATAAACACATTCTTAGCAAAATAATCTGAAAACTATTGCTCTCACAAAGCTAGCCTATGCAGCTAAAGCTGCCTGTGGTAGTGTACAAAGTACAAAGATAAAAGCAATGTACAAAATACATACAAAAATTCAGTTTGGTCCTGTTATCTTTCATTTATTTCCTCTCTCTGAAGGTAAATTTATCTTTAAATTTGAGAAATAAACCTTTACTATACAAGGACTAATTCTATTCTTAGTAGTTGAAAAAATGTATTTTTTCTAAAAAAACAACACTACATTACAATATAGTAATTTATATAACACGTTTAATAATCCAAAGTATTAAAACATCACAGGAAACTGTACTCCACTTAAAATGTGTTTATGCTATGTAGACCCTTCTTTATACACTACTTTTTTTATAGGACCCAAATGCATGTTTACAAACTGTAACATTCTTATAGAAGATTTGAAAAAGCCATGAACAAATTCAGATGCAAAGATTTGCGATCAGCCGTTTAATTTTAATTAAGGGTAAATTTGAAAATGTGCGCTGTTCTTCTCACCGATAACTTTCTTCTTGGAAGTTTCCTAAGATTTAAATAAGACAGACAGCTTTACGCAGAAAAAAATATAAACACCTACTTTCTCTTTCTGTGTCAAAGAGTCAAAAGAAAGTCTGGGGGCCTAAGGCATATCAGAGAAACTCAGACCACCAGAACAGTCCAAGCTAATTGGATTACCTCAGATGTTTCAAAAAGCCAACAGTTTATCTCTAGATGAATCTGATCCAGTATAAAAGATTCTTTTTCTTTCTTTTCTATTCTCATTCAGAATTTATTGTATTTTTACCAGCTATTTAAATTCATGTTTCATGACTGTGTTACGTGCTATTGGCTCAGACTGTCTCTATGTGTATGAGGAGTCTTAATCTTCATCAGAAATTGATTTCTCCAGCATGTCAATTTCTACTGAAAATTATATTAGATCCCCTAAGAGACCACTGTAAAAGACTCTACAAGAGAATAAAGCAAGAAATAATTAATTGAACCCAAATTAGGAAATTAGCTGTTCAATAAAGTCTATGTGTTTAAAAAAAAAAACAAACAAACAAAAAAAACTTTATTTACCCCAAAACATTTACCGAGGACTGTGTTAGATCCTTGACATACAGAAGTGAATAAAATGAGGTTCTTGGCCTTAAGGAATCCCCAGTCTAGTGGGAAGACAGATGTGTAAGCAGAATATCAGTGCAATATGATCACTACCAAAACAGAGATGGGAAAAGGGACAGTGACTATTTTTGTGGCAGTGCCTCATATAATGAGGATTCTATGCTCTCAGGCTTTCACTCAATACAATGATATAGCTCTGTAACCTCAACCGAAGTACTAGATTTATTTCAAAATGTTTAAAAGTTGCCAAAGATAGAACCTTTTGAAATTATAAATTGTCCTTTGCTTTAATATGGCAAATATTAAAAATGGAAACATATAATACCCTTGAGTCAGTTCAGTTTAACAAAATTAGACAACTTCTAAAGTTGACAAAGAACAAACAATCCAAAGCAAGTCACTAATCAATTGAGCTAAAAAGTCAAACCAGAACTGCTACCAATACTAATAGGAATACATGATCATTTCATTAGCTGGAGTCATGATTTGGTGTATGCATTGTGTGTATAATGGTGATAACAAGGGATTTTTTTTAAAAATTGTGTGTAATCTCCCTACTCTCTTAGTTTCAAATAACTCCTTGCAAACCTTCATGTAATCTTGAATAACTGAGGACTTTAGAGAATTTGGAGAGGGAGAAGGAGGGTACCATGAGTTCACTCAGCTTTCTTGGGATCCATAATTAGAGCTGGTTTATGACAGCATTCCCCCTCCCTTGTAGACATTCGAGGGTTAGTGAGTTGTTTCCAAAAGACCTATTTATTCAGGGTAACATGCATGAGCTTAGCATGCGCTACCTCAAACTGAAAACCCTTCTATTGCCCGGATTGAACAACATGTGCATTATTTAGAACTTTGGAAAATCTGAACCACACCTTTTCCCTAAGAGTTGGCTGCATTATTAATGACTGAAACTGAAAGTGGTTTTCTTACTTTGTCTCAGATTCTTTAACTTAGCTGTACTTGTTTTGACACTTTTAAGAATGAAAAGAAAAAAGATTGACTGTTTACTAAAGTTTTGTTTGAGTATAATGT